CCTTGCCTCGCCGCGAGAAAACGCATCTGAGGGGTCTACATTTTAAAAAATTTTTTTTCTGGAGAGGCGCCCCCGACCCCCCCTTTCGCATCAATTCATCCCCCCCCCACTCCTTGGTACGGATTTACGCCCCTGCTATACATACAATCCAACCTAGGATAGCGGCTACCGCCCTTATAGGAATGCCGATAACCCTTGTCTATAAAGGACGCTTGGCGATTCCGTTGAGTGGCAGTAATACATTAAATCTACTTCTATCGAATAGACACCTGACCATAAAGAAAAGTTTTGGGGGTGCCTTTAGGCTGACGCTTATATACAGGTTTTGAATGCTAAATAGTATCACAATTATTCGGATGATATTCACTGTGTTGGGGTGCAATGGCCAAACATTAATTTTGTCTTTGCTGCCATGCAGGAACATGTATGCCCAATTGTATGAATAAAGGCATCACCTTAAAGCTCGGGGTTGGATGACCTTTGCGTCTGTCAAAACAATGTTGCCCTAAAATAAATCGAACATTTAAAACCTACAGTAGAATTAAGTCTTACTTATTAGCAAATACATTGATAACTTTACTCCACCTTCAAAAATTAATAGAAATGTGTGACTGTTAATTAGCTTTTAATATTGTGACAGCAAATGGAGGCAACCAAAAGCTATGTAATGGACCTATTACCCATTAACAACTACCTAAACATAATTTATTGGTCAGGTGACTCAGGTCACTGTTGTTCTTGATTTTCTGTTGGCTTTCATACCTCACCACTGCCGTATATTATGTATCAGCTAGTATACCAAAGCCTTAAGCTGTCATGCTGAATTCCCACATAGTGTTATGCTGACCGCAGAAAGAAAAGGCGTGCGACTATTAGTTCCTGGCCAGATGCAGCATTGTTTGCATGTTTTTCCTTCAAATGTGTTAGCGCCTAATTGCAGGCACTGCCCATGCATGATGACCGAACATTAGTACCAGTACCTACTACAGGTACCCTGATGCGACTATGGGACGTTGGCCCTGTGGACTACTACTCTGAGTGATTAGCACTATGATATCACAAACAACTTCCTCGTAAACAGCGCAGACACGCTGATATATGGCAAAATCGAAGGCATAACATTAACAGACTACTCTAGCGGTCCGGTGTGTTGTCAGCACTTCATTATTATCTCATCACATATGTCATGATTATTCTGCATCATGAGACGCACGTCTTAGCCATTATGGTTCTTTGTCAGGCTTAAAAATGGCCCATTTGCCCAAAAGACGTCGACTCCCCAATCCCAGCGCACAAGGAATGAAGGACACATATTGACTGAGGAAAGAAGGACACATATGACTGAGAATACATACAAAGGTACTTGGTTAAAAGTGGCAAAGCCCACCATCTCTTGTGCCCAACAAGAACTGATAACACCCTCCCCCCCCCCTGCTGGCCTCGTCCCCCCCCCCCCTTCCCCCTGTGAGTATACGTGTCTAAAAGAGAAGATTAGCGAAAAAGATTCAAGTTAAGGAGCAAAATAATATAAAAAATAAAAACGTTAACAGGAGGTGCTGTTTGATGTAGAGGACCCCTCCCTGATAAGTATATATATAATACTTACTTCGCGTAGCCAGCATCAAGTAACTTAGCCAGCGGTTTCTCTATACATAGCGACGCACAGCCTGGGCGCACCGCCCTATGGGTCAAAACTTTAACAAATCGCCCGTGTGTGAAAATGTTCTCTTCTATTTACTGCATAAAGTATATCTTCTAGTATCTATACTACCTTTATAAGTAGGACGGTCCCTGTATACAGAGCAGTTGCGCGCGATGACAAGTCGCCGAAAAAAAATCGCAGGGGCTCACTGGTGATCGGCCCTGGCGACGGCATTTGTTTCCAAATGGCATCCACACGCTGCCGCTTAAGTACAGCGCTGTATGGCATACGCTGTACAATGGTCCGTAGCCTAATTAATTAGGGAACACTAATCGAGCCTTCAATTAAACTCAAAAGTATACAGGAAAGATTATAGTTCTAAGACATGTCTACGGTGGGTGCTACCTAGATTTCTAGAACGGGGGCAATAACACATGTTTACAGCTGCTGACGCGATGTGGAGAGTGGAAACGTCATCTTATTTTGTGTGAATTACAGGTTGCTCATTATTCTTCCAAAATGACTGGGTGCTTGTGTTTACACTTAAGAAAAAGTGGTTAGCAATTAAGCCTAATCATATTCGTCGACAAATCTGTTTGCCTTGCGTGAGGGTGCAGTGTGACATTACTGAGTTTGGGAGCTTCAGGTAATGCGTCCGGCGCGAAACGATCTGCAGTTACATGGTGGTCTAGAAATCTGTTAGATACATATAAACACATAGTGGGCTTATCTCAGTGATCGCTGTGGATCTTGAGTTTATTTGTAAAGGCGCGTGAGTGGCTTTAATTAATTAGCACTGTATCTACGCGCGGGCACGGTATCGCCCCACGCAGGCTTAAGTTACTACGCACACTTCGCTGATGGCGCGGGGGGCTGAGTGTAAATAAAGTGTACAATTTTAATACTATCATTATGGCTGGCTCGCGAACGATTTGAGCTTACATTTGGTTAGAAATATTAGATACATATAGTTACACATGTCTTAGCTATAATCTCCTGCAAATTTTGAGCTTTATTTAAGCATGATTACGTCTTAATTAATGTACTACGGGACCATTGTACAGCTATCCATCACACGCTGTACCTATGAAGGCGGTGGCAGCGCGTGTGAATCCATTTTGGAAACAACTTATCGGCGTCAATCCTGGAGTTCGGCGCAACTCTCTGCTATTATTAGAGGACCCTACACTACTAAATATATCCAATTACATACCTGTATTTGAGTGGATCCACAATGCGCTGTTTTCTTCCCCAAACTGGCCGCT